TGTGGAATCCTCATACCAAAATAGACCAGAACATAGCTAATCAGATTAATGATCTCCGACAAACTGTCTTATGGTTGGGAGATCGAGTAATGAGTCTAGAATGCAACTAAAATGTGACTGGAATACTTCTGATTTCTGTGTTACTCCTCACCTTTATAATGAATCAGAACATGAATGGGAGTTAAGAGACATTTACAGGGTCATACTGGAAATTTTTCTTTGGATATTGCAAAACTGAAAGAACAGGTTTCAAGCCTCCCAGGCACACTTAACAGTAACGCCAGGGACTGAAGTGCTTGAAAGAGCCCCCCGTTGGATTAGCAGCCATAAATACTCTCAAGTGTGTAGAAACACTGGAGGATTCTGTGATTTCAAAGGTGGTTGTCCTTCTAATCTGTATTTTTTGTCTTCGTATAGATCCCGAATCCCGCGAGAAGTGGCTCACTGTGATAAAGCTGCTCTTGCCCTTATCGCTTTGCAAAATGGAAAGGGGAGCATTTGAGAGCAGGCCCTAAGCCTGGCATAAACAGGCCTTAAAGAAACTGGCCATAAACAGAATATCTGTAGCACTGTGACATCCCCATGATGGCAGTGATGCACATTGCTAGAGATTGTTGGTTTACTGGAGCCGGAAAGAAAGACCTAATGGCTCTTGGGCGGAAGACCGCTGGGAGGGGGTGCTTCTGAACCATAAACAATAGTATGAGCCACATGTGCCTTATGCATGTTCCAGCTGCAGTAGGTAAGCGTACCAGAGCCTGCTTCTTGCCACTAAAGAATGCTGTGTTCTCTAAGAAGAATGCTTTTAGTTAAATGATAATCATCACTTGCTTGCTGTCAATAAATGTGTGGGTCAGTCTCTGTTCAAGGCTCTCAGCTGGGAATGCCAAGGCCCCATGTCTGTCCCATAACTTTTTGCTCTCTATCTCTGTGTCTGCCTCTTAATTCCTTCAGCTCCACCTGAGCTGGGATCTCCATGACTGAGCTGGCCTCAGCAAACCTGACACAAACAAGCAATGGGGAGAGGATTCCCTGATTATAAATAGTGCTGGGAAAACTAGCTAGCCATATGTGGAAGATTTAAACTGAACCCCTTCATTACACCGTATACAAAAATCACCTCAAGATGGATTAAAGACTTAAATGTAAAACCCAAAACTATAAAAACCCTGGAACACAACCTAGGCAACACCGTTCAGGACGTAGGCATGGGTGACAATTTCATGACAAAGTTAGCAAAAGCAAGTGCAACAAAAGCAAATACTGGGGCTTCAAGCTGAACCTGATCAGAGCCAAGTCATCTCAGCAGCACTGCCGAGAACTCCACCCAGGACAGCCCCCCTCCCTAGGCCTGTCTCCTCTTGCCTGCAAGTCCCCTCTCCTCCTTGGCATCTCGGATATGATATCCTGGGATAAACCACCTTTGGTGTGTTGGACTGAGCTGCTTCTATTTGGCTGTAAAATCAATAGAAGAGGAAAGGAATGTCCCATTGGCAACTGACTTGATCTGAATAAGTCAATACAGATTTATGTCTTCAGACTTGATGAGGATGGAAAAGATTGTATTGGAGAAAGTGTGTTGGAAAGTCAAAGCTACTACTGCCATTCAGTTTCTGCAACTGTGTTATTCACTCCTTCAAGAGAACTTGCCATTTGAAAGGAGAAATTGCATTAATTTTGAAAGACTGGAAGCTCAACTTAAGGCACGTCATTGCAGGATCGTATTTCTAAAGCAAAGCCTTCTGTGCTTGCATTGTCTATCACTGCATTAGAGATCCAAGCACAGAAGTGTGTAGAGTTAACAGAAGGAGCAGAATGCCTTCACAAACATTCCAACATAAATGGCAGAGATTTGACCTTCTGGCAAGAGTTTGTATCCAAATGTTTAACTGAATATTCATTAAACAAGTGTTCCAAACCAAATATTCAGAAGCTGAAATGGATTGTTTCTGGGTGTACTGCATGGCAATTGAAGCATAGTTACTACAGAATAACTCACCTTCCAACAATTCCTGAAATGGTTCCTTAATTGGATTATTACAGCACCAAAAAACTTCTCTGAAGCCTTTCTCCACAACCTTGTTCTATGGATTCCATGGTATTACAGTGGATTTAAGCTATGAAGCCTGAAAACATCACGAGATAAGCATGATAGGCTCAGACTTCAGAAAACTGACTAATTAATGTTACACTGTAGTGGAATTACATTTAGATTTGCATTTGTCTGTGAAGCATTCAAATCAAAGCTAAAAGCCTAAATGTGAAATGCTAATGACAAGCCTGAGAAGGTAAACGGTGAATTTTCATTTCTATCATTGATCTAACTTAAGTATTGGATCGATATCTTTAGGTGACATTGAAAATTGTATCGGAAGAGCCACACTAATACCATCAACTATCAATCTTCCCACAGCTTCAATCACTCTCATTATTCTAATCCTACTCTTACTTAATTTAAATATTAAATTTTAAGTTATGAGGTTTACATCAAAAGCAACATTTCACAAGTGCACTTTTAAGGCATAATAAGGGTTAACATTCTAGGCAGTATAAACACACCCCATAATACAAGTAATAGATAATCCAGAGATGGGGACTTAATTCCTATATGAGAACTACATTTAAATTTGAGGGCATTTTATATAAAGAAAAATACAGACCTAGAAAGTTTGGCATATTCATCGTTATCTTTAATATTTTTTTCTAGAAGACAGGTGACATTTGTATCTATGATAAAATTTTTATACAGAACTTACTGCTTCAAACTGAATCCCATCAAAAAAAATTAGTTTCTATTGTATTAATAACTCAGAACGAATTATCACCTTGAAAATTTGCTTTCCCACACTAAGGTAAGTTCAGGCTAGATTCAACACTCCATAAGTTTTTTAACTAAATACTGTTTTTAAATTAGAAGTGATGGCAGTTTTATAAAAAGAGAATATATTTCCACGGATGCATTTACTGTGCTAAAACAAAGTCTTAAGAAAAGCAAGTAGACACCTTCATAACTATGAATGAGGCTGCTGAGGATTCTCCATGTCAGTCAGTGAATATAAGAAGTGCAGTATTCAAGTGTTGTAAACAGCTACTCAGTGCAATGAATAGCCTGAGTCCATCCAGAATGGCTGTAACCAATCTGACATCACGTTATGGATCAATACACAATGAAAAACCAAAGAACCACCGTCTTATTCTTAACTTTTATAAACCATGTTTTATGGGTAACTTTTTAGTTTTCCCAAAAGGCTGATAAATTTCAGTATTTTGAATATGTCATTGTTAATTTTGAGCTGGCAGAAGTAAACTAACCAACCACCATTATGTTTTAGTCCTAAGGGATATACCTTTCAATAAAGTTACTGAAATGCAAAAAAAAAAAAAAAAAAAAAAAAAAAAGGCAAATATTGACAAATGGGATCTAATTCTAAAAAGTTTCTGCACAGCAAAAAAAGACATCAATAGAGAAAACAGACAACCTACAGATGGGAAAAAAAAACTGTATCTGACAAAGGTCTAATATCTAGCATCTATAAGGGACTTAAACAAGTTTACAAGAAAAAACAAAACAACACCATTAAAAAGTGGGCAAAGCAAATGAACAGACACTTCTCAAAAGAAGACATACATGCAGCCAACAAACATATGAAAAAAATCTCAACATCACTGCTCATTAGAGAAATGCAAATCAAAACCACAATGAGATACTATCTCACACCAAGCAAAATGGCAATTATTAAAAAGTCAAAAAATAACAGATGCTGGCAAAGTTGTGGAGAAAAAGGAACACTTATACACTGTTGGTGGGAGTACAAATTAAGTCAGCCATTGTGGAAGACAGTGTGGTGATTTCTCAAAGACCTAAAGACAGAAATACCATTATACCCAAAGAAATATAAATCATTCTGTTATGAAGACACACACACACATTCATTACAGCACTCTTCACAATAGCAAAGACATGGAATCAAGTTAAATGCTTATCAATGTTAGACTGGATAAAGAAAATGTAATACATATATGCCATGGAATACTGTGTAGCCAAAAAAATAAATGAGATCATGTCCTTTGCAGGAGCATGGATAAAGCTGGAAGTCATTAGCAAACTAATGCAGGAACAGAAAAGCAAATACTGCATGGTCTCATTTGTAAGTGGGAGCTAAACAATGAGAATGCATAGAGACAGAGAGGGGAACAACACACACCGGGGCCTTTCAGAAGGTCGAGGGTGGGAGGAGGGAGAGGATCAGGAAAAATAACTAACGGGTACTAGGCATCAAACCTGGGTAGTTAAATAATCTGTGCACCAAACTCCCACAACACAAGTTTACCTATAAAACAGCCTGCACTTGTGCCCCTGAACTGAAAACAAAAGTTAAAAAAAGAAACTCATCTGTAGATTCTGCTCATTGCTGAGTAGGTCTATTTCAATTATGCAAACCAGCCCTGAGGAAATAATCACAGGGTGGGTGGGGGCCCACTGGATCCACTGATCCACTGCGAGAATGGTTCATGTATGTTAGGGCTTCCAGTTTTCTATTCTTCCTAATTTAATCTTGGCAGGTTGTATGTTTCCAGGAATTTATCTATTTCCTCCAGGTTTTCCAGTTTGTCAGTACAGAACTGTTCATAATGGTCACTGATGATCTTTTATATTTTTGCAGTGTCACTTGTAATCTTTCTCTTTTCTGATTTTGTTTGAGTCTACTCTCTGTTTTTCTTGGTTTGTCTAGCTAGTGGTTCATCAATTTTGTTTATGTTTTTAAAGAACAAATTTTCACTTTGTTAATCACTTACATGGTTTTTAAAAGTCTTTATTTAGTTCTGCTCTGATCTTTATTATTTCTTTTCTGCTAATTTTGGATGTGGTTTGTTGCTTTTCTAGCTCCTTAAGGTTCATAGTTATATTGTTAATTTATAATGTTTCTACTCTTTTTAGGTAGCCATTTACGGCTGTAAACTTCCCCTTTAGACCTGTTTAACTGTATCCCACAGCTTTTGATATTTTGTGTTTCCATTTTCATTTGTTTCAACAGACTTTTTGATTTCCATCTGAATTTCCCTGTTTACTCAATGGTGAATCAGGAGCACGTTGTTTGGTTTCCATGTATTTGTCTAGTTGCCAATGTCTTTCTTGGTGTACATTTCTAGTTTTATTCCATTGTGGCCAGAGAAGATATCTAACATGATTTCAATTTTTGAAAATTCGTTGAGATTTGTTTTGTGGCTTAACATAAGCTCTCATTCAGAAAATGTTCCATATGTTCATGAAAAGAATGTATATTCTGTAGTGTTAGATAGAATGCTTTGTAAATATCTGTTAGCTTTATTTGGTCTAAAATTCAGTTTAAATCCAATGTTTCTTTCTTGATTTTCTCTGTAGAAGGTCTGTCTAATGCTGAGGTTTAGATGTTGAAGTTCCCACTATTCTTGTATTGGAATCTCTCTTGTTAGATGTAGCAATTTTACAGGCTGCTCTTTGTTAGAAAAGAAAATGATTTGGGGCTTCATTTCATTAAAAGAAAAACCTTACTGAGGACTTCTGTACCCTCACAATCTGCCTAAATAATTTCTTCTTAACTCCTATATCACTGCCAGACTCTGAGCCAAAATGCAGTGACGCAGAGAGGCTGGGACTGTGCAGAATGCGTTTTAGTAGAAACAGCTGAGTGGCAGTAGTGATGGCCAGTTTCCAGGTGCAGCAGTGACATCTGTCCTAGCCTCAGGGTCCAGCGTCCAGCACCAGGGTGTCAGAGGTGTGAGCAGTGGCGTCTGTGCTCAGCAGCAGGGGCAGTTGTTCCCAGGAGAGACCTGATCCAGGATAGGCTGTGGATTCTGTTCTTGGTTGAATAATTTCCATCCTTGCTCTATGGCTTTCCCCACAATAAAATTAGCCCCCAATGCCATGTATTACTACTTCATGTGTAAATTAGGGAAATTTGTTTTCCATAGTTTGCTCCAAGAAGTGGGTGAGAAATCAGCATGTGGCCCAGTGTCAGAGAGCAGCATTCAGACGTGTTCTTCGTGTGAGAGCCACATCCTGAATTGTCTACCTGGCCTCTACCCCAATGGTGGAGAGATAAACAGGGAATATCACATCTCATAACTGATGATATATGTTCTCCCTTTTCTTTCTGAGAGAAAAATCTTCTTTTAAACAAGGTTTGAAAACCCACCCCATCCACCCAACCTGGTCACTCTGATCTCTGATCTCAGTGGTTCCCAATCTGGATCCCAACAGGGAGGGCAGAGGCTTAGAAAATACTCAGGCTGCTTCCCAGAATGCCTGTCACAGAGTATTATGCACAAGACCAAGATATCACTTATATAACAAGCACTACAGGCAGGCTGATGCTCAGACATGTGGGATCCTGGTGTTCTTGATCCGGAGACCAGAAACGTAGGATCCAGTCTTGTCATAAATCCAGGATCTCTTGCTCAACCCTAGACTTCTTGGATCTCAGCACCACGTCCAGGTGATCCCTGTGCACATGGGAGGTCTAAGTGTCCTCTAGGCGTGGGGTCAGAACTGTGCAGTCTGCTCTGGGTGTGCTCTGATCAGATCCCTTAGAACTGGAGGTCCAGGGTTCAGTCCTTGTGCTCATCCTCTTCTATAGCTAGTCACTTCCTTGGTGCCTTCATCCATGCTTGAGGTTATACGTATTGTTTATATGGTATGACCTCCTAAATCTATTTATCCAGCCCAGTCTATTTCTCATTTCCCCTAAATTCTGAAGTTGTCTGTCCAACTGCCACCCCAGCTCCCTCACCTGCATTCCTAGTAGACATCTCCTCCACTGAGTGACTGGGATGCCCCCTCCTCCGTATGCTCCTGCCAGAGTCCCCCCATTTCCACAGCAGCTCCACCCTTCCTTCTACTCACTCATTTTACAACTGTGGGTGTCCTTGATTCGTCTTTCTCACACCATAGATACAATCCATTGACAAATATTGTGAGTCGATCTAAAAATGCATCCAGAATCCCCTCACAATCCACTATTTCCTCTACTCACACCCCAGTCAAGGTAACAACATCTCCAGCCTGGAATACTACATTCGCTTCCCACTGTTTTCCCTTCTGCCTCCCGTGTCCCTCATCTCTCAATTCTGTTCTCAGCACAGCAGTCAGAGATCCTTTTAAAAGAGAAATTGTACCACATCTCTCTTCTGCTCAAAACTGTCCACTACCTCCCCATCTTAGAGCAAAGGTCAGATGCTTCCCCACACCCTCCAGGCACACCTTCCCTGGCTGTACCTTTGACTTCACCTCAGATTCTCTCTCTCCAGCCCTCTTGGGCTCCTTCACCTCCTGGGAACACAGACGCCATCCTGCCCTAGTGCATTTGCACTGGAGGTTCCCCTGCCTGGAAAGAACTTCCCCAGATATCCTCGTGGACAACTCCTCATGTCCCTCAACTGTTTACTCAAAGGTCACCTTTGCGAAGTGGTGCACACTGACCACCCAGCACCACAGCCACCTTCCCTGTCCCCACTGCCCACACCCTGGATCACCTGCCTCACAGCACTTCCCACCTTCTAGCACTTTCCTTCCTTGCTCTGGTTATAGTGTATCAATCATCTGCCTCTTCCCACAGGAACACATCCTGCACAAGATAAGAGATTTTTCTGATTTTACTTCAGTGATGTTCCCCAGATGCAGAACCACTCTGTCCTATGTCTGGCTGACAACGAAGGTCACTGTAGAGCATCTCCTATTCTAAAGGCAGTATCTTTATTAATGTAGACTCGGGCCAAGTGCTGTTACTTGGCAGCTACAGCACAAGATCCCCTCACACTGACATTGAGGTTGCCTGTGCTTTTCTTAGCAGGGCTGCTGGTGTGTCCTCCCTCCCTCATCCCTCCTCCTACACCAACTCCCAACCCACACACACACATACACCCTGCACACTGCAGCACACAATCATGCTTCTCTTTTCAGGAAAGAATAGTCCTTGATTATGGATCCAATTTCACAAACAAATTTAAGTCTAAATTAGTCTCTGCTTTATAGATTCATGAGTTGGGATTGGAGCCAGCACCAAGATCACTAGAACCAGGACAGGGAGAGAAGGCAGGAGAGCAGAGCAGAAGAGGAGCCCTAGAAGGAGGCCAGGAGCTGAATGGATCTGAAAATTTGTCTCAGACTCCCATGTGCAGGGGCCGCCCTGGGCGATATGTGAGCCTCTGTGGTCACAGCTCCCATGGGACAAGTTTCCATTGAAAGGACAAGGACAATGGAGCAGTGAAACTGACCCAGCTGAGGACTGACCACATAAAGCCCATGATGGACTCAGCAGCAACTGGGCACATGCCCAGTCCACACTCGGCTCCTCACAGCCTTCTCCATCCCCACCTGCAACAGACTCAGCAGAGTGAACACGTGGATTCTGGAAGGTTCTCAGGTCTTTATTTCCTCTCTCAAATTTTAGGAATTGAATTATTTAATTAACTCATCAACCTCTCATGGAAAACATTTGAGAAAACACATTTATATTCAGATTCTTATTTTCAGTAGGGAAGTAAGCGGTTGTAGTTCAGTGCACCATGAAGCTGAGACAGAGATATAGACACCCAGCCCCACCTCTCTGGAACAGGAAAGATGACTGGGGAGGGAACACAGGTCAGCGTGGGGACAGGGGTCATGGTGGACATGGGGTGGGCTGTCTCTCCACCTCCTCACATTATGCAAACAGGAAAGCAGACACATTCAGATGCCTTTGCAGAAAGAGATGCCAGAGGCTCTTGAAGTCACAAAGGGGAGGCGTGAAGAAATCCTGCATCTCAGTCCCACACAAGGCACCTGTCTCAGGCTACAGAAAACAATAGTCGTGAACAAATTCAGATCAGTCACAGTAAGTGATGACACTCTGAACAGCCCACCACACACTTGAAATGTCCCACTCAAAGAATCACCATTACCCAGTCCTTTCCCCTCTGCCTTAACCCGTACCCACTTCAGACCCCCAGAATCTTACCTTTACAAGCCGTGAGAGATACATCAGAGCCCTGGGCACTGTCACCGCCTGGGGTAGAACAAAAACAGGACCTGGTCAGACCCCACAGGAGATGTGGGACAGGAGGAATTATGGGGTGGGTGAGCTCCTCCACACTCCCGCCCCCACCACTTACACGCAGCCTGAGAGTAGCTCCCTCCTTTTCCACCTGTGGGAAGAAAGTGTCCTGTGAGGGAACAGGGAGGAGGCAGAACCACGATATCTTAGAGAAACCTCCTAGTCTTGGACCCAACAGAAGTTTCCAGAACTATGACTACAGACCCAGGGCAGGATCAGGAAACACCAGGAAAGCAGGTGTGGGTCCTGGACCAACCGCCCTCCTAAGGTCTGTCCTTAACAGGAACCTTTTCCTTACCAGTGAATGCTGGAATCAGGACTGCAACACTACAGTCATCAAGGTGATACATCTGTCCTTCATTGCCACATGTGCTTCACAAAAGAGTAAGTGCTGGCACACAGGGCCCCAGGCTGGATTGGCCCATGCGTGGATGGTGCTTCCCAGTAATGAGGCAAGGAGCACTTCGACCTGGGGCTTGAAACCCCCAGCTGGACAAGAAAATACAGACTCCACTCCTCACCCCTTCCCTACCTGAGCTCTTCCTCTGCAACAGCACAGCAGTGACCACAGCTCCAGTGACCAGAGCTCCTAGGACAGCCAGGCCAGCAACAATGCCCACGATGGGGATGGTGGGCTGGGAATATGGCTCTGGGAAAGGAGGGGAAAGTGAGGGGCCCTGACCCAAGACCTCAGCCCTGACCCTGCTGAAGGGCTACAGAAGGGCATCTGCTTTCCCTGAGAGGAGACATGAGAGCCCATCCCCTCCTTGCCCATCCCCCTCCTTACCCCATCTCAGGATGAGGGGCTCTGGCAGCCCCTTGTGCTGCACATGGCACGTGTATCTCTGCTCCTCTCCAGAAGGCACCACCACAGCTGCCCACTTCTGGAAGGTTCCATCCCCTGAAGGCCTGGTCTCCACAAGCTCAGTGTCCTGAGTTTGGTCCTCCCCATCCCGCTGCCAGGTCAGTGTGATCTCCGCAGGGTAGAAGCCCAGGGCCCAGCACCTCAGGGTGACCTCTTGGTCAGAGATGGGGTGGTGGGTCACATGTGTCTTTGGGGGATCTGACGGGATGAGTCAGAAAATTCAGGCACTTTGTATCTCTCATGGGATATCCCAGCAGCACCCATGTGACCATCTGAGATTGGACAGGACGCCTGGGGTGGGGAAGGGAGCACAGAACCCAGATACCAGCCTGGAAACAGGCCCTTGGGATAATCTCCTATTCCTTGGAAAGTTTTAGTCTCTGAGGGAGGAACAGCGACTTCTGGTCCTGACCTGAATGGAGGTCGGGGGACTCAGAAAAGCTGGAATCAGACCTCCAAGGACACTTGAGAGTGAGACAGAGAACAAGGCCTGAGAGAAAAAGTGACGGCCCCCAAGGCTGCTGCAGGGGTCAAAGGGGACCCCTGATCAACATTCCAGAGACTGTCTCCCCTCCATTTCCACAGAACCGTCATCCCTTAATTGTCCTAGAGAGCAGACGGGCCCTCAGAGAAAACTCAGGAAAACTCGTGTCATTCTCCATTTAAGGGAGAGCGATATTCTAGCGCTGATCACATCTTCCTCCCCTCCTCGTGGCAGGCCAACCCGGGAGATCTATAGGAGATGGGGAAGGCTTCCTACTGCCCCTGGTACCCAGGCGCTGCAGTGTCTCCTTCCCGTTCTCGAGGTGTCTGCGGAGCAACTCCAGGCACTCGCCCTCCAGGTAGGCTCTCATCCGCTCAGCCACATTGTTCGCCTCCAACTGGCGCTGGCTGATCTGAGCCTCCGTGACTGCTGCAGTCCAGGAGCGCAGGTCCTCGTTCAGAGCGATGTGATCCTTGCCGTCGTAGGCTCTCTTGTCATACCCGCGGAGGAAGCGCCCATCTGGCCCCACTTCGCAGCCATACATCCTCTGGAAGGTGTGAGACCCTGGCCCCGCCCCCGCGGTCAGCCCCGCCCCTCGAGCCCCCACCCCTACCCCCACCCCCACCCCCACCCCCACCACAACCACCAACAACAACCCGCGGGGATTTTGACTTAAACTGAAAATGCTGGGGCTCTCTCCTGTCCAGGGTCTTGGCGGGTCCCGCATCCTCGGGGTGGACCTCGAACCCGGAGACTCGGGGAGACCCGGGCCGTGCGTGGGCGACGGGGAGGGGTCTTGACCTGCGCCCCGGGCCGGGGTCACTCACTGGCCTCGCTCTGGTTGTAGTGGCCGGCCAGGATCCTCACGCACATTTCGCTAATCTGTGCGTCCGCCTTGAGGCTAGTTGTCTCCCGGTCCCAATACTCCGGCCCCTCCTGCTCCATCCACGGCGCCCGCGGATCCATCCTCGGACTCGCTGCGTCGCTGTGGAACCGCTCGAACTCCGTGTCGTCCAAGTAGCCCACGGCAATGAAGCTCGGCTTCCCACGGCCGGGCCGGGACACCGCAGTGTAGAAATACGTCAGGGAGTGGGAGCCTAGGGGCGAGGAGGGGCTGAGACCCGCCCGACCCTTCTCCCGGCGCGGCTCCCCGGGTCCTGCGCCCCGCAGGCGGACCTCTCCCTCCTCCCCGCAGAGGCAGTTTCCCTCCCGACGCCGCACTCACCCTCCAGGGTCTGGGTCAGGGCCAGGGCCCCCGAGAGCAGCAGGAGGAGGGTTTGGGGCGCCATGACCGCTATCCTCGGCCCCTGGGGAGAATCTGAGTCGGGGTGGGTGACTGGGGACTTTAGAACCGGGACCGCGGCGACGCTGATTGGCTTCTCTAGAAACCCGGCACCCAATGGGAGTGGGAACTGGGGACGCATCTTGGCTATCCAACAAGAAGTTCCCGACACAGGTTGGGAGAAGTGAAACTCAGGTGAGTGGGGAATCCCCAAGGCTGCGAGTCCCCAATGCAGACACGGCTCTCCGTGCCTGAGACCCTGAGAGCCACGCCCGGGACCTGAGACTTTGTCCTGATCCCTCTTCTCCTACACGAAGCCTCTTTGTTACACTGACTGCTCGAGTCCTGGCCAAGGATCTGTCCATGGTACCAGGGAGAGACCCCCGCCCCAGGCTGCGCCCAGCCCCTTCCCCTTCACTTCTGGTCCTGGAATCCCTCTCCCTGAACTGGACTCCCTGCCTCCCACTCCTTACCTCTTCACTTGGATTCTCGTACAAGGAAATTCAGCACGGGGAACTTGATGCCAGAGAGTGAGCTCGCCCTGGGAATGGAGGTGTAGAGACACCTTTAAACCTGGTGAAGTTTTGTCTGAAGGTACCAGATAGAGATTCGCATAAAGACCAGTTTCCTTTTTGTTTATTAATACAGTAGGTAGCACAATATTGGTAATCCCTGAATGATTAGAATTCCAATCTGTAAAAGACCTGTTTCAAAATAGAGCTACAATTAAACTCTTTAAGCTCCTAAATTTTACTTTCCCAGACTATGGATCTGTGACTGTGGTTGTTACATTTAAAATTATCTTTATTCACTAGTCCAAGTTTCCCTTTGTGAGTCCAGAACATATTCTGAATACAAAGAAGCAGGTTTGTTACTGTATATTGCAACCGGGAGCCTGTAGTCATCACTCAGAGTTGCAAGAGCTCCATGCAGTCCCAATGCTCTTCATTGAGGCCCCATCGCTGCCTGTTTTCATTATGCACATCTAAGCTGTGTGCATATTTTATTTGGGCATTTAACATTTTTGTAACCCTTTTTTTTAATCTTAAGGAGACCATTAGTTTTTAGGCAGTCCCACAAAATGTATTAAATATTGAATGCAAAGAACCCCCTGCTAGACTCCTCCACTGCTTTAGAATTCTTTCCTCTCTCCTTTTCCTCACCTCCTGCTTCCCCAGCCCTTCTCTCTGCCCCTCTCCTCCCTCCTTTCTCCTTAGTTCCCACCACCCAGTCACTCCAGAAGGGTGGCACTGTAGAGAACAGTTTCTTTTCCCTAAAAACTTTCTCTACGCCCCTTTCTATTTAATCCTTGCCTTCCACCCCCAACCCTTCCCTTCACTCAACCACTGCTCTGCTTTCTGTCACTGCATTAGTGAAATTTCT